TGAATACCAAAGCACTTGGGACAAGGCCCAGAAGAGGGGGACAAAGCTTGTTTCAGTGCTCTGGGTTGGAAAGTGCAGGACAGCTGGAGTGCATACTGATGAGTCCTTATTCCCGGCAACTAACCCCAGTGAACACACACTGAGCCTGATGAGGAAAAGGCATAAGTGCATGCAACCCAAAGATTTTATTCCTAAAACACCAGTAAATGATAAAAGACTTCAAAGGAAATTTGAGAAAATGACTGAAGAGCTACAGAGACAAAAGACAACCCCAGATGACAACGTGCCTATTTTCTTATTTGAATCTCATGGCTCATTGACGTCTAGTTCCTCAGTTAAAATTAGTAATCACCACCATGCAATGAAGCAGAGGTTACAGGAGATGAAGGAGAAAAGGGAACAGCTTTCCCCTACCTCTTCCCAGGGGACTGAGCAGGCTCACGAAAATTCCAAGGACTCTCTGTGTGAAGCGTCTTTGTGAATCCTTTGCTGGAGGTTTGTACTCATTTTGGGGTGATCTCTGTGAAAAATCAGCATGTGGAAATCAGGAAGGGAAATTGGGAGAATCTGTTAAGGAAATTAAAAGTGACACGTGCAGCTCCTCACCTGTACTGAAAATAAGTAATATTCATTCCTGGCATCCTCCAGCTGCCTCAGTGAGTTAAGTCCCCAGAAATGCACGAGTGATCTTCCAAAGGCAGAAGTCAGTCAGCTGAGAGACCCAGGAGGTGAAACTGTCACGCCAGACAGAACACAGGCCTGAGGGGTATCTGACACGTGTGAAGAGAAAAGCAACATCTGCAGCCAGAGGGCATCTCTGGCTGCATTCAGTGCCTGGGAGCTCCTCAGCAAAGAGAAAAAGGACGACAAATGAACAAATATGGGGGACAACCAGTTAATTTATATGAACTTATTCTAGTGGATGTGATAATTTTTAAAGGAGTATGAAACCCTCTTCAAACTGTCAAAGCAGAATATTGAGTGTGTAATTATTTTATAGCATGATTTATATTAATAGGCTTCTTATCCAAAATAAAGTCTTCATATCTTCTTTTGCTTAATTACTGATGCAGAATTTACTTCAAAGAAATTTAAACACCAGTATTTGAACTTTATATCACACTCTTTGTAGTTACTTTTTATTTTTCAACAGTGAACTCCTCTTGATTTGGGTCAAGACATTTGATCATAAGAGCTTTCAATAATATATATAATAGGAGAGTATGAAAACCAATCTGCCAATTAGAAAGCATTTGCATAAAGCAAGCTATGGTGGTCCAAGCCTGTAATCCCAGCACCCTGGAAACTGAGCCAGGAGAATCATAAGTTTGAGTCCAGCCTGGGCTACCTAGAGAGAACCTGTCTAAAAAAAAGAGCAAGAAAAAAAATCATATAAGTACTATTTAAAACATTTCTCTTTGCTGCATATACCAGTATGGGAATAAATGATGCCTTAATAATTTTTGTATTGTTGGAGGCAATGATTTTAATACATTTTTATTTATCTGCTGTTGTGTTTTTAATTGTTGGATAACAGAGGTCTTTAAATGGGTTCAACATAAAACTACATTTCAAATATTGTTTTTGTAGTGTCTTTTCAAGTCCAATGTACTTATCAATCTCTGCATCTTTTTAATACACATGTAAGTCTTTCAAATGCTGAACTGTTATACACGCTTTTTAAAGTCATTAATAAAGAAAACTATTGGTATAGTTTTACTAGGAAGGGTTATCAATGTTTATGTGTGATTTAGTGACTTTGTGTAGCCCCTCCATTTTAAGAACACTTAGAACTTCTGCTGTATATCTGGAAAGGTGGATTGTTAATATGTCATACCTGTGCAGTTTGTGCCTGAGGTTTTAAAGAATAATTAAATTTTAAATAAGTTACCTTAGCATAAGAGTAATTTGAAATGTATCCATGGTTTTTACAAAGTAAAGTTTGGCTTCAGTTAAATTGTTTGAAATTGTAAGTATAATTACAATGAAGAAGTTTAATCTCTTTTAAAAGCTGAATCATATTTTATTTCTTGAATTAGTATTAATATGCCAACTAGAATATGCCAACTTGTTTTCAGGGTTGTATATGTGTGATTTTTGTTATGTTGATTTGTTCGTTCCTTTTTGAGGAAAAATTTTTTTGTTGTTTTGCTCTTAAGATTACGAAATTATTCAGGCTTACCATGGTTGCTAGATTACAAAGAATAATGCTAATTGAATTCCAGTGAACTATTTTTACATGAAATGTACAAATTTCTGGGGGTGATGGTGGCCATGGTGCATCTTTTTACCTTGTGTAAAATACTTGAACACTTTCACAGTATCACCATCATCTGTTCAACACTCCCAGTATATTTTTTCAAAATCTCTTTACCTAAAATTGTGTGGAATGGCATAACTAATAAGCAATAAAGTCTGAATTACGATAAAAAAAAAAAAGAAAAGAAAAAGGACGTCAGTGGACCTGTGTTCACCTCCAAGGTCAACACTGAAGAGGACGAGGAGCGGCCGGAGGCCCTTGGTGTCTTGGGAGCAGCTGCTTAGATCCGGCAGAAGCCTGCAGTTCAGTCCTCAGCCGCCATGGGGACTCCTGTCTGTGGGGCGTCCTCTTATGAGAATTACTTCTTCCCCGAGAACCTCCAAGAGAGGACCTCCGCGAACCATCCTCCTGAGTCTTGGCAGTCGCCAGGCCCTGCTCACTTCAGCTGCAGAAGTCTTTCCAACAGGAAAAGAGCAAACATCCTAGAAATGTCTGACCTCTTCTGCATTGGGGAAAACCCCAGATCGGCTAGCATCACCAATTTAACAGCAAAAATTACCTCCAGCCTCCAGAGCTCTGCGTGCCTGGCTGCGGAGGACACATCTGCTGCTGAGGAAAAGCCAGGGTGCCGCGGGCAGGCTGGGCATCCCCAGGTAGAAGATGCTGGCCCCACAGGAAGTCACCATCCCCACGACACCCACGACCCTGACAGTCCAGGGCAGGAGGGCAGCTGCTCCCCCGTACGGGGCAGTAGAGCAGAGAGAGAACTAACTGGTTAGCAGGAGAAATACCCAGAAACTGCAGCACCCGACGCTGCAGTGCTGAACTCCCCTGCGAGGCACACAAAGAAGGAATGCGAGCGGCGCTTCAGAGGTGACCTGCAGAGGAAGAAAAGGAAAACATAGCCCTGGGATACAGTGGAACTTGTGATGACATGAACATCAAGTAGGGAAGCCTGGTTTCCCCTAGTGCGGCACATTTTGGTCCTGGTGTCCTCTAGAGTGTGATAGTCCCTGAAAGCAGCTGCACTTCCCGCCCTCTGCGTCCATCCACAGCTCGAGCCTTTGGCTAGATGGAAGAGGAAGCAGGGCAGCATTGTTGGCTCCCTGGGACCCGGAGGAGATGAATAGCTTTTGGAGATCCTGTAGCAGAGCCGTCGGGAGTGCTGAGGGAAGGCCCTGGTGTGCCTTGGTGTGACTCGGATGGAAGCTTCCTTTCGTCCTGACACAGGGCATCTTCTGCAGCCATATGCCTTAGTTCACTTTGTCCCCAAGAGACAGAAATTCACTAGACCCTAGTGTAAGAGAACACTTTCGCGTTGCCTTGCCTAAACATAACCCCTTTCACTAATGTTTTAAATTGTCCCCTGCGACTCAGCGAATCCACCGTAGATAAAACTAGAAAACCTTCAGTTTACATGGACACTCCCTACGAACCAGAATTGTGGAGCACGGAAGTCTACTCTGTACATCCAACTAGACCTCTCCACTCTTTCCTGTTGGAGTAAAAGTCTCTCAATTTGTTTTCAGTGTACTTGCAATTGTTGCTAAAAGTGTGTAATAAAGGTTTCCAGAAAAGATTAAGTAATAAACATTAACAAAAGGAATGGAGGAAGACTTAATTTCTTAATCTTTAAATATGTATTTTTCTTTTTTCATTTTTATTCCTAATTTTATAAGCAGTACTTCAAGTACATTCCCGTTGTAACAAAGACTGGTAAAAGAATAAAAATTTCTTCATCATATTCCTCAAAAAAAAAAAAAAGTGGATTTACGGTGAGTTCTTGAAGTTTGGTTTTGTAAGAAAAGAAACCAGTCTGGGTCGCCACAAGGAAGTAGGGTTCCATGCAAACCACAGGGAAATGCATCCGGGGAGTGGACAACGAACCCTCTGGGACTGCGGAAAAAGTTACAGTCTTGGTGTTAGCGGACCACACAGTCTCGCTGGCGGCTGCCTCCAGAGGCTCCCTAGATAGTTTCAGCGGTTGCCAGGGAAACCAGTGGCTGCAGAGGGCGGGGCCATGGGAGGTGGTGCTGGTCTCTGATTTATTAAATATTTGCTTTTGTATTTAATTTGTATTCATAATTATAATACATTTCTTTTCACAAATGTCGAAAGTGATGACGAGAGAGGCTATATACACTGTCCAATTATATTCACACACACTGAATGGAAGAAACTTCTAATCCAGGACTCCAAAGCCACTACTCCTTCATCACAGGACAGTCTCATTTTAGAACTCATAAATGATTAGCATCAGGCAGCTAACTCCAAGACTTCCATCATTATGTAATTTTAAAAGTTCTTTACTCGTGGACCATACAGCCACTGTGCACATGGATTTTACTGACTCTCATAACGATAAAATAGGGAACAAAAGGAGCGAGGAAAAAACCACCGCTATTCAGCGAAGGACCTCCAGGCAGCAGGTTTTCAGGAAATAGGGAAGGAGGAGGAGGGGGAAAATATGCCACTTTGGGAATGGATCTATCCTGCAAATTGAAGAGTCCGTTTCAAAAGAAGCAACTCAATCCCAAATCTTCTCCCTTTGCAGAGGGAAGGAATGAATGACAGACTTGACAATTTAGACAACTTTTTCTCAGCTTTTTTCTCCAGCCTTCATCAAAGATGGCGCCCTTGACTTCCTCTTCGGCGGCACGCAGGTCCCGGGACCTTCTGCACGTCTGCTCTACGGTACATCCTCCCCCGCCCCGCCCGGGGCGGGGCCTGGCTGGAGGCGGGCCCTGGGATCCGGAAACACCTGTGTTGTCGCGCAGTGTTTTTCTCGGCGGGACCTCGTGACCAGGGACTGGGGTGTCCTCTAGCCGGGTCTCCCGGGGCGGTCCGGCGGCTGCCACAACCTGGGCCGCGGCCCGGTGCACTGTTGTGGGACCCGCGTTTGCCCCCAGCTATGCCCACGGCCGCAGCCCCCATCATCAGCTCGGTCCAGAAGCTGGTTTTGTACGAGACCAGAGCCGTGAGTACCCGCTCGGACGGGAGGGGAGCAGCGGACGGGGTGAACGCGGGTGGGCTCAGCTTCCTCTCCTTCTTCTACCCACAGCTGCCTGACCTGCTCAGGCACAGCCGTGGAGGAGGCTAGCCCTCCTGGTAATGCCTGTCTGCACTGCTGGGATTGCGTGTGGATACTTCCACTCCCATGTCTTTGGCCAGAACATGCAGTTAGGTGCCTGTGATGCCTCAGAAACTGCTCACGAGGCCTGTATGGGTTCCTGGATTCCTTTCAGCTTTCAGAAAGTCTGTTAACGTTCTGGGATTCATTGCTTCCAAGAGGGGTATGGAGAAACTTGACCTATGACTGGTATCTTTTCTGTTTTCCTATTCCATGGTATACCATCGTTGTGATTGGCGTTGATTACGTGAGCTTTTATTGCTGAAATTTTTTAGTTTTCTTTTTTTAAAGAAAAACATTTAATTTGCTGGTTAGTTTAGATAACATCTTTTTTATTCACTTGAGTTTTCCAACACAACATTGAATTAAATTTTTAAATTTATTGCTTCAAATGACTATAGAGAGTAAACAGATCGGTGATTATGATTAGGTTACTAGGTTCCTAGTTTAGGGGCTAGTGTTTATAGAACTTCATCCTTTGTCATTTTTGTCGTTGGAAAGCAGGGTCAAATCAGCATAACTTTTCTAAATTGGGGTAGCACAGTGATATTAGGGTCTGTGTGTAAGATTACCCAGTTGATACTTATAATACTACATATACTGAGTATGTATGCAACAATCTGCTATGCTATGCTGTGTGTCTAATAAGGCACCTCTAGAGAGATATGGATCATCTCCATTAAAGGCAAATAAGAAGGAACTTATCCTGACATTTTCTCAGCTATAACACACAGCTAATAGTATGTCTGCTTCAGGTCATGAGTGTAGTAGAATCCTTGATTCTAAATTAATTTTGCTGACAGCTTCATTTGATTAGATCTAGACCAGAAAGTGAAATCATCCTGTATAATCATCTTTTTTTTTTTTTTTGGTACTGGGGATTAAACTCTGGACCTTGCGCTTGCAAGGCAGGCAGCAGAACCACTTAGCTAAATCCTGGGCCCTAATCATCTTGTATTTACAAGTATTGTAGCAAAACTATCCTTTTTGTAAAATGTGCTAATAAATATCCCTAGTTAGGAACACAAACAACTTAAAGCACAGAAATTTCAGCTCACTAAAAAGCTGAGCATTCCTTAGGACTGACTGAGATGTTAAGTGTTCTTTCTAAAGCACAACTGAACAGTATAGAGCTTTTCTGCTCAGGCTCAGTGGCCCTTATTCTGAGGAGAGTGAACCCTCAATCTCTTAGTTTGGCATTCAAAGCCATATATGATTTGTCTTCAACTTGTCTGCCTAGTCTAATATCTAATTTAATATCAATTCAGACAATATTTATTGAGGATCAGCTATGTACCTTTTTCTACAGTAAAATTATATTACCTTCCAGTTCTTTTATCTACTGTGTTTTTCTGCTATTCTCTCTTCTTGTAAAGTCTCACCCCTTCTTTTCCTGTCAGAATCTTGCTGATCCTCACAGTAAAGATATGGTACATGCCTCACTAATAGTAGGCTGTTAATCAATGCTAATAAAGGAAGGCTAACACAAAAAGATATGTGTTCTAGAACTCAGCTATTCTTTCAGCCCCCTGAGTATTGGAAATTAATTCTGGCCAACTTCAATATAAAAGATTAACTACATTGGAAGAATGCTGGGGAGCCATTGGGGGAATCACGGGAGGATCCCAACTCCCTAGCCTCTGGGAAAGCAGGAACAAGACCACAGGTTTGAAATCCTTCTCACAGTGCTGCCACAAACATAGCATAGGTCCTGGGAGAGAGTCCAACAGACTCAGCTAGGATTGGATCTCTGCCTCTGGTGGACAATCAGTATTGCTGGGGAGGATCTGGGAAGATGATTCAGTTAGGATCCCTTCCTTACAGGGAAGGCTGGGCCTGTCAGCCTCCCTAGAAACATCTGGTGCACTGAATCCTCGAAACTGTTTCCTTGTTAGTTAGGTAGATATTTCTTTTTTATAATTTTTACTTAAAAAGACATAAGCAGAAATATTTGAGTTATAGTCTCAAAGTCTAAAACATGACTCAGAAAAAGTATAAAATTACTGGCAATGAAAAAAAATTAAGAATCTAAAAAATGATCTGTAGTAGTTTATAATAATAATAGTACTTGCAGAATACTTCTATGGCGGGCATTGTGCAAAGTTTTCTCTATATGTTTCTTATTATTTAACTTCATAAAACCCCTAAAAGATCAATAATATTATTGCTATTACTACTACCACTGCTACTATTACTATTTAGTGAAGAAAAAAATTAGGTGAGGAGAGTTTAGGATATTACCACTTAAAGTGTGGTCTGGGACCTGATGCCAGGAATAGTTTTTTTTTGTTTTTTTTTGGTACCAGGGGTTGAACTGGGGACCTTGCACTTGCAAGGCAGGTGGTGGAACCACTGAACTAAATCCCTGGCCCAGGAATAGCTTTTTGCAACTAGATTGAGGCAAATTACATGTAGATATTGAGATGAAATAATTAGGACTTTTAATATTAATTTGACACAGTTTTTATTTCTCATGAATCAGATTATTTAGAAAATCAGGCTTGGGTTTGAATGTCTTTGCTTTTTGTTTTATTATTCTGCTGTTTGGTTCCTGAAACCTTGCTCTGGTCTTGTCTGCCCTGTGGCCCAGGCTTAATCCAGCCCAGCAGTCATACAGTTCAATGCAATGAGGAGTTTTCCACAGGAAATTTAGCAACCTAAAGTTATCTTGGGTGAAATTGACATTTACCTGAGGTGGTTTCCAATTTACAAGAGACCTTGCTTAATAAGTGATGCCCTAGGGGTCCTAGCATCACAAAAAATGATCCTTTTATAACAAAGAATGAAGTACAGAGGTGGATTTTAAAATTGATAGCTGAACAGAACTGGGGTTGTATGTATATCTGTATGTATTGTTTTGTAGGGATGAAAGTTGTTAAGATAATCTTAGTCTTGTAGCTCAAAATTGTTAAGTTTTTATATATGTAACTATTTATATTTATTTCTTCCTTGTTCTGAAAGGGTCTAAGGATGCTTCCCTGCCACCACCACTCAGAAAAAAATAACTCTCATCATGAGGAATGCATATTACTTAATTAGTCTTGACTTGTGTAATTAGAGAACAAAAGTGAACAGTACAAGGATAGTTGGCTGAGGGGTTGAAGCAGGGGATCAAAAAACAGTATGTGAACTGAGAGGAGCATAGTGATAAAAGTGGCTTAGAAGGTGGAGTTGGAAATGATAAAGTCTCACATTTGTTTCTACAGGGTATTTAAAACTTCCCTATCACTAAAGTCCTGAAGGTCTAACAGATAGGCTTGGACATCCCTTTAGACTATGCACTTGATTCTTCTGGGTTAAGTAACCGATTTTTGGGATTACTAGGCTAGGGGAAATAGCAGGCCTGCATACTGTTAGACTGTGAGAGCTAACTTAAAGATATTCTATTTAAAAACACAATCTGAAATTTCAAGTGATGTAAAATTTCTCCCCTTTGAATAAGGCTGCTTTTCCTCTCTCAGATGAAAAGTGAATGATTAATTAGCCTGTCTTGATAAAAGCAGGTAATAATGTCCGTAGATACTAAATTTCTGGTTAAATAGATTGTCTGTTGTATTCCGTGTGGATTTCATCTATGTATTTTAGAAGCACATTCATCTTTGTACCAAGTCCCCACTGTTAGTTGCATACTAAAATTTTAAGCCTTTCTTGAACAATGACAATTAACTTTTAGAAGAGAGCCAGCTCAGATCAATTTCTACCTTAATGTGTATTTTAATACAAGTCTCCACTGCCATGTGGTGTAGCTATTTTTAATATCCTAATTGTCCATCCAACCTCCTGCCAAAATTCTATCCCCAGTATATCTACAAAAGCACAAACATTTTCCCCAGCAGTGTTGATTTCATATACATCTGTTTGCATGATATATATACTCAGGCTGATCCATGCCTGATATACAAAAATCTTGTGTTTTTCACTTACTGCTATTTCCTTCCCTGTTGCTCTTGAATAATTATCTTTTTTACCTTTTCCACGTGAATTATGGTCCATTTGCTGCTTCAGACTTTGCTAATACATGAGTGACCTTTCCTTCTTCCTATAATCTAGTTGCTACTGTGAGTTTATAATTTTAACCCCAACTTTCCACCAAATATGTAAATCTCCCCTTAGCATATTCACACATTTTAGGTATCTTATAGGTTTCATCGTCTTGAAACAATGGCTCGAATGTGACCTGGCTGCTCCCAAGGCTTTCACTGCAGCTGCCATCCTGGAATTTCTCTTCCTCTCATATTTCTTCTTGATAACAACCTTCCTGTTTCTCTGTAATTTCCTGTTTTTTAATTTCTACCCTCATTTTGATGGAGCAACTCCTTCAGTTGCTTCATGAAAAAGGATTCGTTTAAGGTAATGTTTTTTTCAGTCTGTTCATGTTTAAAATTGTCCTTATGCTACCTTCAGGATTTGATTGATGAATTTAATTTTTTAATTAAGTTTATTGATACATTTTAGGTATACAATATGATGACATTCATCACTGGGAATGTCTACCTTTACGTGATATATCTTGGTTCTTATTTTGTCCCCATTCCCCTGTCCTCTCTTCAACCCTTCCACTCCTCAAAGACTTTGTTTCCATTTTTCCCTTTTCTTATATTTTTTCCCTTCGTACCTTTCCCCTACTCCTCCCACTTCCTCCTCCCCATTAGACCTTTTCTTCCTGTTTCAAATTATCTATTATACATTTTGATTCTTATTTATACTTTCAGTTTCTCACACCAGAGAAACTATTCAGTATTTATACATGTGTGTCCTATTTATTTCACTTAAGAGTATGGCCTCAATATGCATCCATTTAGCTATAAATGACTCTAGTTTCTCATTCTTTAC